TGGGAAGGCAACCATGTTGTGACAAAGTAGGGTTGAAGAAAGGGCCATGGACTGTTGAAGAAGACAAGAAACTCATCAACTTCATCCTCACTAATGGCCATTGTTGTTGGAGAGCTCTTCCCAAGCTTTCTGGTTTATTCTCTTTCTCTATCTACTCCAAACGACACCGTTTGGTATATATCCCCATGTTGAAAAAGTTTCACTTTTTTTCTAAACACTTGTTTTTTTACCCTTTCTCTTACCGACGAAAACGATGCTGTTTTGATATATATTTCCGTATTTAGAAAGTTTACTTTCATGGAACGTCCCTTTTTTTTATTCAAGTTTTAAAAAAAAGTAATTATCAGATCCATTTTTCCCTACTGATTAGTGATTTGTATTTTCGATATCTTTCTCTGTTGATTAATTATGTCACGAGTTCTATATGTATACACAGATACAATAGTATGATTTTGCACCAGTAATCAAACAAATACAGATTCAGCATTTCCACCAGAAATTCACATAAACACTTATCTTTGCTTTTTGTAATGGAACATTTATCTATCTTTTGGATTTCAAAAAATTACTGGAATTACTATTCATAGTGTTTGGCCCACGTAAATCATAGTGTTTTCGTGGTCCTCACACGTTTTTTTTTTGTTTTTCCTGATCAATTTATAACTTTGTCTAGTTTATTGATCGTTAATTTAATTAATTTGGTTAAACTAAATGCAGGGTTATTGAGGTGTGGTAAAAGCTGCAGATTAAGATGGATAAATTATTTAAGACCTGATTTAAAAAGAGGTCTTTTATCAGAATATGAAGAACAAATGGTCATTGATCTTCATGCTCAACTTGGCAATAGGTTTCTTCTCTATCTCTTGACCAAAATAATTATATATCTATATATAATTCTTTTTTTTTTCAAATTTATAAACATTAATATACATACTTACTTTAAAAATGACATTGTAACTAACTCATAATAAAATATATAAAGATTATGACCATTATATTATATCTCAATATTCTTAAGTTATCGAAGAAACACAAAAGTCGTTAAACCTCAAACTTTATCTCTTCATTTGCACGAAAGATATTGTCTACTATCACATCTTTGTTTAATTAGTCGTATTTTTTTTAACCCTCGTAGTTTAGTCGGTGTGATGAAATTGACTGAACAGTCAAAGTCATTATTTAAACTTTCACTTATATGTTATAAGTTTTTGAATGTTTTTTTTTATTTGTGTAGATGGTCAAAGATTGCCTCTCATCTACCAGGAAGAACTGATAATGAAATAAAGAACCACTGGAATACACACATAAAGAAAAAGCTAAGGAAAATGGGTATTGACCCATTGACCCATAAGCCTCTCTCTGAAGAAGAAGCTTCACAACAAGCTCAAGGGAGCAAGAAAAACTTAGTGCCTCATCATGATGACAAGAACCCAATAGAAGATCAACAAACCAAAGACAAGCAAGAACAACATCAATTAGGTCAAGATTTGGACAAGAATTACAACAACACAAAATCGATTTCTAGTGATGATGGGTTTTGCATTGATGAAGTTCCATTGCTCAGTCCACATGAGATCTTGATGGACATCTCTTCTTCTGCTGATCATAATCATCATCATAGTAATGATGATCACAATGCCAACACTATTAACTCCACCTCCCCCTCGTCTTCTTCTTCTACCTCGTCCTCGTGTATATCATCGGTATTACCAGGTGACGAGTTCTCAAAGTTTCTTGACGAAATGGAGACTCTTGACCTCAAGTGGCTCGCATCGGAGGGTTCATTAGGGGATAACATTAGTTTCAAAGACAACAAGTTCAACAACAATGTTGATACGATGAACTTGTGGGACATCAATGACCTAAGCAGCTTGGATTTGTTTATAAATGACGTTGATGATGGCTTTGTTGGAAATGGTAATGGATGTTCAGGAATAGTTTTAGATCAAGATTCATGGACATTTAATCTCCTTTAAATTTTAGCTTTTTTTTTCTTAGTGTTTTATCTTATTAGATTTTTGTTGTTTGTTTTTTAAGTGAAGGATTTGGATTTGGCCGTCGGTGCTGCTATTTAGTGGATAATTAGGTGTAAAATACATGTAATAAAGAGTGCAATTGTGATCAGCCTTTTCTTTTCTGTCTTTTCCTTGATTTTGGACATAATGGAAAAATATAATACATCATTAATTAAAGTTTGACATAATTGATATGTTTTTAACAAGAATACTTATTTCTTTGTCAAATTCATAATCTTTAATGACAGACCAAAATGATTTTCTTGAAATGATTTTAAAAATCCAACATACGTTCACATTGAATGGTTCAACGAAATAGAGAAAATTACTTTCAATCGCATTGAGAAACTTATTGATAGAATTAAGTTTGTGGTCAATATCCAATAATGTCTTTCAATCAAATTGGTTTCCATCTTATTCCTTTTTAACATACTGTCCAAATTTAAAAACCTATCTTATAAAAGAAATCATTTAAATTGCATTCCAATTTTTTTTGTTTGTGTGGTAAAACCAAATTACTAAAATAATTAAAAACCACTAAATCAAAAGTTTTATCAATTTTTTTCTCAGTCCATTGATTCATAGATTATATACATACATAATCACTATATATGGTTTCTTTTCCGCCGGCTACCTTTTTTTTGTTTTTGTCGACTATTTAAGTTCCACCGATACCAAAAATGTTGAAAATTGCTTAAAATACGCAAAATTAATCGAATAGAATTAGAGAATACAAAATGATGATATAATGATGGCGTCATGGTGATAAATCATTTGCTATATATATATGATAGACTGCAACAAAACAACGTCACAATCATTATTGAATCTCTTAGGATTTGTTAATAAACTCCACCTACCAAATATTCTCAATCTCACGTTCAATCAAACTTGAAAGCACTTGTGGTGGACCATCGACCTCTACGCTAACTTCGTATACAATTTCTTTATATATTCATACACGTAAAAAAAAAAACACTCTTTCACAGATACTAATTTTTTTTTTTTTTTGGGTCAAAACACAGATACTATTTTATAACTATTTTATATGTTGTTACAATAATTTTATAAATGTGAAAAATGATAGTTGTGAAAATTAACTCCCCTTGAAAAACTCACAAGATTCATCGACAAAAACGTTTCGAATCGGTTCAATCTCATGCGAAGTTCCAAAAACAAAAAAGAGAGAAAGACATGAAGGAATACTCAGGTTCTAGTTTGCTACAATACAAATACTAATCTGTAAAAAGAAATCTCTCTTATGAAATCCAAACTCTAAATTGTAATGCATTCGATGTAGCAAAGGTTTTGATGAATAAAATTTTACATTTTTTCATTCAAAAATTGTACTTTTAAAAGCATCATATATTTATGGTATTTTTAAAATTACATTTACCCTATATGTTTTTATCTCCGACTTGAAAAGATGTATATGGACCTCAGTCCTAATACTGTTTATTCTTCAAAAATAAATAAATAACGTGAAGCATTTATATATAAATTAAAAATAGTTTATTTTAAAAATATGTAGATTTGGATATTCATTAAACATTTACCATTTTCCAATAGTAACATTTTTTAAGAATTTATAACCAATTATTTATTTTCGTAATCAAAAGAACTTAATCGAAATTATACTTTGAAATATGTCTTATTAATTAACGTTTAATTATACTTTGATTGCATACTGAAGAAATATTTTTTTGGTCACTCTCATTTGGCCAATCGAAGTGGTACCACGCTTTATGTCCATTAGAAAACTTGGTGAGTGAGCTACTCGACGGGTACATGCTCGGATCACTCCCTGGTTCTTAAAAAAAAATTGGTATTTAAATTTTTTGTCAAATAGTTTTATAAAACTTATTCTGGTTAGCATTTAAAATTA